GAATCTCTGCGGGGAGTTTGTTCCAAAGGGCCGGAGCTGCCACAGAGAAGGCCCTCCCCCGGGTAGTAGCCAGATGACATTGGCTGGTTGATGGAACCCGGATCTTCACTAGTCAATGACTTCTGCTTCCAAACCATATTCAACCAGCATCCATTCATTCTTGACTCTATCTCTTCTTGTTTTACCGCACACGCTTTATAAGTACTCCATCTCCATTGCACTTAACTCTTATTTTTCCATTGATGTAACAACTTTTCACTAGTATTTAACAAAGTAGCAGAAGCACACTCTTTACTCAGCCTTTTTTTTCCTTTTTTTGATGAACTTGCTACATACTGCATATTATCCACTACTCTCCTACAAGCATTTATTTTTATGTTTTAGAACAAGTGTTGATTTCTCAGTTTGGAAAATTGTTCCCTCCAGTTCAACTATCAAACATAATCAGTCTGGTGTTTAATACATCACTTTCAGATCCATACTTCTCATCGTACAATCTAAAAATAACTGCAAATTATTCAGCTTCTTAACCGATCTAGTATGGATTTGTATGTGAGAGTATACTGCTACATTAACATCCCAAAACAAATCTTTTTTAATTGAAGATTACATATTATTTTATTTTGTTTACAAATGTACTGAACTACTAAGTGGATAGCACATATTCTTCCTGATCAATAAATATTCCACTTATTTTCAGGAATGCCTCAACTCAATTGTATATCATTTACAGCATTCAACAAAGTTCAATCCCATTTTCATGCAAAACATTCTATAATTCAAGCCTATTACATTATCAACATTTGCTTATAAGTTATGAAATATGTAATAAACATTCTGATCTTCCAATGACCTGTTGTAAATTTCCTGCCTGGCACAAATTTTATTTGTTTTCTTCTTTGTATACCAGAATACTCTAAAATGACTCCTGGTAACTGACATCATTAAAATAAACATATTCATTGTCATAAGACAAATATATAAAATTTTATATTAATTAAACTATGAACCAACTCCAGCATCCATAGTTCATGTGACATATAAAAGCATTCTACTGTCTTAACAGCATTCCTGTACATCAGCAGAAAGGGGACCATTCACATCTCCAGGGGGAGGTCATTTCAAACAAAAGAAGCAAAGATACTGTAGTCTTACTTCAAACATGTATGTGTGTGTGTGCGTGCATGAGCATGTATACACGGTCTGGAAAGGCCAGCCCTTTTTGAAGGAAATGAATGAAGGGAGACCTAAGAGAATATCTGAAAGGATGTCATTCAAGAGAGGGCATGAACTTATTCTCTACTGCCCAAGAAAACAAGAGCACAAATGAGTGAGTTAAAACTATAAAGTTCAGGTTAATGTCAATAGGAACTTAACAAATATGCAAGTTGTCAACCAGTGAAATAGGCTACTAATTGAAATAATAAATTCTCCTTTATTGGAGATCTTCAAACAGAGATTGGATGGTCTTCTGCCAGAGACGTTTTAGTGAATCCTACACTGAGCAGGGGGATGAACTAAATTTATAAAGTCCTTTCCACCTTCTTATTTTATGATTCTATGGGGCAGTCTTTGGCTTCTATAAGGAAGGGAAGCCATAAAGGATGAAATACTTTGAAACCAATACAACGGATTGCATTTATTAAAAATGCTTCATATTTTTCTTCAAATTCAACTCTGGTTCTTTCATTTCTTTCAGAGCCGAGGTGGCGCAGTGGTTAAATGCAGCACTGCAGGCTACTTCAGCTGACTGCAGTTCTGCAGTTCGGCTGTTCAAATCTCACCGGCTCAGAGTTGACTCAGCCTTCCATCCTTCCGAGGTGGGTAAAATGAGGACCCGGATTGTTGTTGGGGGCAATATGCTGACTCTGTAAACCGCTTAGAGAGGGCTGAAAGCCCTATGAAGCAGTATATAAGTCTAACTGCTATTGCTATTGCTATTACCTCCACCTACTGCAACTTAAGATGCAAGTATTAACTACCTATTAATTCATGCCTTCATATGCATTCACTGCAAAACGTACAAGACTCCTATTCATATTTTCCAAGATATTTATTATTAAATTTATAACTTTTATTCCCTGCATGTACTCACCAACCTCATTCACAAGATCA